ATAGGGCTCTCTGCTCAGCAGGGAGCCTACTTCCCTTCCTCTCTGTCTGCCTCTCTGCCTACTTGTGATCTCTGCTGTCAAATAAATAAACAAAATCTTTTAAAAAAAAAACTGCACATGGGGTGCATGGGTGGCTTAGTCGGTTAAGCATCCAACGTGTCATTTCAACTCAAGTCATGATCTCCTGCGTCGTAAGATTGAGCCCACATCGGGCTCTGTGCTCAGCCAGGAGTCTGCTTGAGATTCTCTCTCTCTTCCTCTGCTCCTCCCCCTCCACTCATGCTCTCTCCCCCTCTCTCTTTCAAATAAATAACTAAATTTTTAAAAAAAATTATACATAAAATATTTCTTTTACTGGGGCACCTGGGTGGCTCAGTCAGTTAAGTGTCTGACTCTTGATTTGGCTTGGGTCATGATCTCAGGGTTGTGGGATTGAGCCCCAAGTTCCCCAAGGTCTCATAACACCCAAGTTGGACTCTGTGCTCAACACAGAGTCAGCTGCAGACTCTCTCTCTCCCTCTCTTTCTGCCCCTCCTACTCATTCTCTCTCTCTCTCTCAAATAAATAAAATCTTTAAAAATATATACTTCTTTTACCGTAGCCCAAGAGAAAAGCACTTCAGAGAAGTCCCCTGTTCCTACCATTGTCTCCTGTAACAGGGCTGTGCTTATCTGTTGCAAAATAGCCACAGAGCAGTCACCCTCCTTTTCACTTCATCCCTTCCCCAAGGACTTGCTTTCACTCCAATATCCATCACCTTCCTCCATTAGTGCATTTCTCCAAGTCTGAGTGTAGAACAACACTGGGGGCTTTTGGCATGACTGTCCACCATTGTCCTTCGGACTTGAGTTCTTCAAAACAGTCCTTCGTGGGCATGGCACACCATCTCCCCCTCTCTTAAGATATGTTCAAAATATGTATTCTTCAAATTCTCTACTGAATAACTGAGGGCCATTTCAACACTCTCTTTCTCTCTTTCACATAGCCCCCAAAGGCAATCATCTTTTTTTCCTATGAGATGTTATGCTCCATATCTATAAAGAGGAAATTAAATATTTACCCCCAAATTATCAAGGCTGGTCTCTCTCATGATAGAGTTAGTGTATTATTATAAAAAACAATATTTCCTTTTTTTCTTTCAAATCTTCAAAGATGTTTTTCTGTTGTCATCTGGCTTTCATAATTTCTGATGAGAAGTCCATCATCATTTTAATTAATTGATTAATTTGCTTATTTATTTATTTTGTCTCACTTTTTTTAATAATTTAGTTATGATTTGCCTTGGAATAGTTTTCTTTACATTTCTTTTGCTTTAGGTTCATTGTGCTTCTTAGCTCTGTAAATTAATAGTTTTAACAAATTTTAAAATGTTTCAGCTATTATTTCTTCAAATACTTTTCTTATCTACCTATCTGTATCACCAAATTACATGTATGCTAAAGTCCTTGATATTATTTTATAGGTTACTTATACTCCATTTATTTCTTTTTTTAGTCTTTTTATTTTTAATTTTAATTTTTTTAAAAGATTTTATTTATTTATTTGACAGACAGGGAGGCAGAGAGGCAGGCAGCAGGGGCGGGAAGCAGGCTTCCCACCGAGCAGGGAGTCTGATGCAGGGCTCTATCCCAGGACCCTGAGATCATGACCTGAGCCGAAGGCAGAGGCTTTAACCACTGAGCCATCCAGGCGCCCCTAGTCTTTTTAATCTATGTACTTCATTTTGGATATTTTCCATTGTTCCATTAAGTACCATGATCTTTTCTTTTGCAGTGTCTTATCTTCTGTAAATCCCATCCAGTGTATTTTCATCAAAGAGACTATATTCTTCATTGCTATAAATTCAGTCTGATTTTTTTAGTTTTCCCATTTCTTTCTTCATTGTGCTTCTTCCTTTTTGAATATCTGGATTATATCTAACTAGCTATCTCTAATATCTGTCATTTCAGCATCTATTTCTTTTGAATGGTTTTTCTCTTACTTACATGCCATATTTCCCTGCTTCTTCTAGGCATGATTATTTTTTGAATAAATTCAAGACATAGATGTTAAGTGTCATGGATACTAAATTTTATTGTATTCCTTTAGTTTTAGGCTTTACTGTGGCATGTAGTTAGTTGCTCAGAAAAACAAGTTTTGAAGACTTGTTATTAAGATTTGTTAAGGTAAAGCAGGAGTGACACTTAATTTTAAGATAAAATAATACCACTTCCAAGGCCATAACCTTTTAAAGACCTAATCAATTGTTTTTGTTATAGGATCTTCCCACTCTTGCATGTGGGAACACAAGCTTCCATAACTTGTGGGAGCCCTGGGCATTACTCAGCTTATGGCTCCTTAGCTTTCTTTTTCATCTTTTGTCTCCACCTCAGTAGCTTTCTCTCACTTGCTGAGATCAGTACTCAGCCAAATACCCAAGGAGACTCCTATGCAGTTCTCGGAAGCACTCTTGCTGCCTCTGTGAAACTTTCTCCTCTCTTTTATTCTTTCTTCCAAATTCTTCCCTGAACTTTGATCTCTGTCTTTTTAATGTGGTGAGACCCTCAGGTCTGTGTGGGCTTTTCCTTCTTGCACTGTGACCTGGAATCTGCCAGGGACGGTGAGTTGTAGATTGCAGGACTCACCTCATTTATTTCTTTTCTCTTGGAAATTTCCATCCTACACTGTAAGTCTTGCTCAGTTTTTTTTTTTTCTTTCTTACTCAGTTTTTGAGTTATTTAGGGCAGGACATGGCCAGAAGTGGAAGTTCCATTTTGTTAGGAGTTTGACAGAAATTTAGTTGTGAGAAATTCTGAGCCTGCACACAAATTAGCAGACTTGCTTTTTCTTAGAATTGCTTTTTGATTCGAATAAGTAAATATTGTATATATTTTACTCGAACAGACATTGATAGTCTCTTAGAATAAATTTTTTTTAGCCCATATAAGTAAGTAGGGTCAAATTCACATTATAAATATTTGTGAAGAAGTGACGTGTTATCCAAGTGGGTTTTAACAATAGCTGGAATACTCAGGATTTCATTTGAAGTAAAATATAGTCAAGATGTTTCAAGAATACTAGTAGGCAACAAATGTAATTATCTGAGATGAATATAAGATCACTCATAATCATTCAGTCATTCAATAAATATTGAGGATTCAGTGGAACAGTGGTTCCCACCATTTGTGAATACAATAGTTTATAAGGGTATAGGGCATGCAAATAATTAACTATAATATGGTAAGATATAGTCAGATTGTAAGTAATGACATTGGTGGAAGACAACGTAAAGTGCCACTGAAGCACAGAGAAAGAAAGCTGGAAAGGACCGGAAACTGAATTTGTTTTATGGAAGGTATCTGTTTCCATTGTCTATCCATTCATTCATTCTTCTATTACGTTACATTCAGAACATGATTAGGCACCAGTACAATACTCTGCACTGATAAGTCCCAACAATACAGTTCCTCCTCTAGGAGAGAAATGGCTAATAAGCAATTGCAATTCAGTGCAATAGATGCTATGGCTGAGGTGTGTCCATGGGACCGCAGAAGTGGAGAGGAAGTGTACCTCGTCGTTGAAGCAAGTGATCAGAGAATGCCTCCAGAGGAGACTGAGCTGCAACAGAGAGTGTTACCATTCAGGAGATGTTAGGTATACAGGATGGCTGGAGCATGGGTTTCAAAGAGGAGTCAGTGGGGAGGAAGTTGGGGAGATAGAGAGGCGGCATATTTTCAAAGGCTGTCCATGTTCTCCTATGGCATTTGGAAGAAAATAGGAAGCATTGACAGATTATGTCTGTGACTGTGTCAAATGAGGATAGTTTTACATTTTAGGAAGTTCACTCCAGTGGTAGAGTGAAGGATAAAATAGAATGAAGTGAAACTGGAAACAGGAAGATTAGTCTGGAAGCTGAGCTAATTTAGTAATCCAGGAGACCAATCATGAAGAACCTCACTGAGGCAGTTGTGGAGAGACAAGAGATAAGGAGAGAGATCAGGTAGTATTGAGAAGATAAAACAAAAGGACCTAGTGCCTAACTGGATATAGAAAGTGAAGCAGAGGATTGAGTCTCTGATGACTTAAAATTTTCTGACCTGTTGGACCAATTCTATTCATTAAGAACTGGGACCTCCCCGAGGCATTGCCTACCCCAAGGAGAGCTCAAAACAACCCACTGAGATGCAAGAAAAAATAGCAGAATTCCATTTATATTCTTCTCTATATTTTTAGTTTCTCTTTGTGTGTGTCTGTGTCTTGCAAAGTATATAGTAAACTAATACAGTAGTATGTGTATATACTTTATAAGTAAATGAGTATCAGTATATTGTTGGGTATGCTCAAATATTTCATTATCAGGGTGTACGATCAAAAAGTTTGGAGACATCTGAGTGAAGGGTTACAAAGGGAATAATAAATATGATAGTTATGGGAAATTTGGTAGTGATGGGGTAGTTATGGGTAGTTATTTGCCTATGAACATTTAGGCAGTAATTTCTAATGGGCAGTAGGAGTCTAGATCAGACAAGTGTCCAATAGAACTTCACGTGATCATGCAAAATGTTCTAAAGATGTACTGTCCAGTATTGAGATCAGTAGCCACATATGGCTACTGAGTACTTAAAATATGGCTAGTACAACTGAAGAACTGAAATTTTTCATTTGGTTTCATTTTAATTTATTTAAGTTTAAATAACCACACGTAGCTAGTGGCTACCATGATGGGAAGCACTGATATGAAACTTTGAAGAGAGACCTGGACTCTCTTTGGTTAGCGCTTCCACTGGCTAAGCATTTTACATACATTTTTAAGCAATTTAATTATCCCAGCTACCCTCTGGAGTAGACAGTATTATAAAAGAAAAGAATAAGTTCTTCCTTATTCTTTTTAATGGTAAAAGTTCCTATAGTGAAAAAGAGCATCCTTGCTCTGAAATACGCATGCTTTCTAGATATTCTCTCTTGGTAGATATTTATGTATCTTTTCACAACCAAGTGATAATTTCATATTTTCTTTTCAGGTGGTTTGCTCTGTTACAGATTCAAATATGTATTATTTTAATACTTTATAAATATGACTGTAGTCTTCTAGATCCATTACCAAAGCAGGTAAGTGTTTTCAGGATTTTAAATATCACGGTTTTTAATTTTGGTATAAATTCTAACACCTTGGTTTTAACTACTAGAGATAAGCTGCTAATTTCCTTATGTAGGCTTGATCTTAACAGGTGTCTTACACGGAACTGGGCTGAGAAGATACCCCTTAATTCCCTTATTTCTGGATCTGACCTATATGCCATGGAACCACAAGACCAGGACCAAATAGCAGTGCTCCCACCACTTACAGTGTTAAGGAGGTCCCCAGTGAATTCACCAATTTTTGACATTGTTTCTTGTGCTAAATTGACATGGCCTTGATTTTGGGCTTATTTCCCTAAAAAGGTGTGTCTATGGGTCCCAAAAGGAACCATCAGTTTTAGAGGCAAGTCATAGGCCTTAGTCCATTTGGGAAGCAACAACATGGAAGAAAAGAGCAGACAGTGAGCAACAGTAAAGACAGTAAGCAAGAATGAAAAGGCTGTGACCTTACTCCTACCACTGACCATTGAATTGTCTAATCATTGAACTCCTCTGTGTTCCTATAGGTCTGTTCTCCTAGACTAGTGTCTTTCAAACACGTGCAAACGTCAGAATGACCTGGAATCAGAATACTGGACCCCCACCCCTTGAGTGCATGATCTAGGGACATCTAGGGAGGGGCAATAATTTGCATTTTTAAAAAATATGTTATTTATTTATTTGACAGAGATCGCAAGTAGGCAGAGAGGAAGGCAGAGAGAGAGGAGGAAGCAGACTCCCCACAGAGCAGAAAGCCCGATGTGGGGCTCGATCCCAGGACCTTGGGATCATGACCTGAGCCGAAGGCAGAGGCTTTAACCTACTGAGTCACCCAGGCACCCCAATAATTTGCATTTTTATCCAGTTCCCAATGCTGTTGATGCTTCTGGTCTGAATAACACTCTTTGAGGATCATTGTCCTAGGCAACAGGGAAAGTTCAATTCAATTCCAGATGTTTGGAAGTCATTTTGAAGACTCTGGATAAAATGTGCTGTTTCAACTGAGGATAAAGCTCAGAAATTAAGCATTGCAATTTCAGGGCTGTTCCCATAGCCTGTTGTGCTTTGATTTACTCTTGATATAATAAGGTTAATGTATGGAGGGATAAATAAAACTCTTGGGTGACATTTCAATAGAAATTATGTAAGTGTCTAAGTGACACAGACAATATTATATTACTCATAAATATGCACATTTCAGCACTTTCTCCTGATTTCTTTTGCACTTCTATTTTGAGTACACTAACTACCAGCGATGAAGAGCCCTCAAAATCCTACCATGAAAGGGAAACCAAAAAACCCTTCACAAAGGTTCTCAGCAAGTATAGTTTTATTATCAAAATGAAGATCAGGGCCAGGAATATACTCACAAAATACCAGTTCCTGGTCCATTGAGTTGGATGTCACAATTTTGCCCAGGACTGATTCCCCATCTAAATATTTTCCCACCAGTGAGAGGACACAGAAATGCCTTACCAGTTTAGATGGATGACATTTATCAAAACCATGTAAACCTAACTCCAGCAATCAGTAATTTTGACCAGTTTCTTAGGCAAGATTTTGCCCAGTTCTCTCTTCCTAGCTAAGAATTCTATTAGTTATATTTATTATACTGAGCTACACACATTCTATTTCTGTTTTGACATACTAAGAACATATTTTTTTAAAGATTTTATTTGTTTATTTGACAGACAGAGATCACAAGTAGGCAGAGAGGCAGGCAGAGAGAGAGGAGGAAACAGGGTCTCCTCGGAGCAGAGAGCCTGAGGCGGGGCTCGGTCCCAGGACCCTGGGATCACAACCCCAGCAGAAGGCAGAGGCCTTAACCCACTAAGCCACCCAGGTGCCCCACTAAGAGCATTTTTAAAGAAATATCTCACAAGAGGGAAAAAAAGAAATATTATTTCATTTTGTAAAAAGTATGTCTAAATGAATTCTCATGATCTCAAAGGGCATTTCATTTCATAATTCTTATTCTAGAAAGAGATAAATTAAAATTATGCAATTATTGGATTTGTTTTAATAAGGTAAAATGAGGTGATCAAAAAATACAGGGAATGACCTTCAAATTACCAGGCTCTTGTAGAAGATGGGAGGGGGTGGGCTGCCAAAGCATGTTCTGAACACTCTTGTCAAGCATGGGGGCATCTCTGGGCTTGGAAATTAGCTTCCCCAAAGAAATATACTTGTCATAGTAGTAAAAATCAAATTCTAGAACCCACAATTTTAATTTTTCTGGAGCCCAGTGTTTTATTTTATCTCAAAGGGTCTTAGGAAATTAATTTTAACTCTCATTAAGAACCAAGCACTAAACAAATACTATAGAGCTTTCCAAGATCCACAACTATGCAGCAGTGTCCAGATGCTAACAATAGGGGCTGTTCATTTTGAGCATTTATAAGACCAACTTCAATTCTCCTGCAAAAGCAAGTACATTTTTGCTAATACATTGAAGTTTTGTTTGTTTGGTTGGTTGGCTTTGTTCTGTTTTGCCTTTTGGGGGGTCATGAGTCCTTAGATAATCTCACGAAAACTATGGATCCCTTTTTTAGAAATGTGTGTAACTTTTCATACCCACAAATTTGCAGTTGCAATTTCAAGGAGTCCATGACAACCCTGCACCTCATTCTGTCAATGCCCCTAGGAATCTCCGTGTTAAGAAGCCCATTCTGTGTCCTATTGCATTCAAACCTGACAATAGACTGATGACTTAAATTGGACTGATTGTCTTTTCCCTGTTCTTGATTTCCCCCCACCCTCAAGGCTGATAGAACAGGTTGCAAATGTCCGTTCCTTCAATGGAAGGCTAAAATTGATTCTTGACATTATAAGACACATAAAGCAAACACATCTGGTCTCCTAAACCTAGACTTTGTACTTTTAGAGATAATTACACTTGAATAAACCTTTGGTCTAAAACCTTATGTCTCTTAATTTCTATATTTCTTCTACATTTCTGCTTTTAGAGTCCTCTCCATTTGGTGGGTGTCCAACAGCCAGAAGGACAATGCCGAATTGAATTTAAACAAAGAAAATGACATCTGTTGGGTCTAAAGAGGGCCGGGATCTTCTGGAAGAGTGATTGTCCCCATCCACTAGCCTGGCAGCATCTAGACCTGAGCTCTGCTAAAATATACTGCTTAACTTTGTTTTAGGATTTAGTTCAAGAGCATGTCTAAATGGTAGATGTGTTTGGTAACTTAAGAGTAGACCAAGAATCTGACATCACTCTCACCGATATGAGGTCTGAATACAGGGATTATAGAAGATGTTTAAATGATTTTTAAAAGATGCATTTCCCCAGGAGTTGCAATTTGGTTTCATGCATAACTGTATTAAACTTTAAATAGAAATAGTGCCACTTGAATGAAAATCTTAGTAAACTATGAAGGCCACATACTTAAATTTCTATTTTGAAAAAGGCTAAAAGTCCTAGATTCTAAGAAAATATTAAAACAGTAATCTCTGGAAATTTTTTTAGTTTTCTCAATATGATTCTCAACTGGCAATTTCAATTCTTTTTTTTTTTTTAATGTTGTTTTTTTTTAAGATTTTATTTATTTGACAGACAGAGATCACAAGTAGGCAGAGAGGCAGGCAGAGAGAGGGGAGGAAGCAGGCTCCCTGGCAAGCAGAGAGCCCGATGTGGGACTTGATCCCAGGACCCTGAGATCATGACCCGAGCCAAAGGCAGAGGCTTAACCCACTGAGCCACCCAGGTGCCCAGCAATTGCAATTCTTAAGTTCTATTAATATAATTTTTTATGGTAAACAAGACTGGTGCTGAAACAATGAATAAAATGATAGCTTTCTAAGACCTGTGAAGATGGGGAGCATGTCTTACACTCTTTCTGTGCTCAACTACACCAGGACAACACCTTCTGTATAAGGTTTATTCAGTAAAGGTATGCTGATGGATATATTGATTTGTATTTTAATGAAGGTGAAAGTACTCTTGATTCAAGACGTTAGTAATTATAGGGGAAGAGGTAATATTTTTGTGGGTAGAAACAGAAGTAAAGTGAAGTCAAGGCAAATAAAAGCATTTGAATGTATTACTTAGGACTTCTGTCTGAAATATTTATTGTGAAACCATGAAAAGAAAACCTGTCATGCCCCAGGAAAAACATACCACACTAGAAATAGAGTGCTCAGTGATGTCATGATTTGTCCTCTAATATTCAGTAAAATGCTGCTTGCCTCCTTTATTTCACAATAAATAAGCTTTGTGTGCATGTTGTCCTCTGGATTATTTGCTCCCCTGTGCTAGAATTATCCTGCAGAGTTGATAATGATTGCTTAGTCATCTATTTCCTACCAATGAGCAGATGACTCCCTAGGAGAAAATTAAGTACCCTGGAGTGCATTAACTCTTCCAGGCTAATACAGTGATTCTGAAGCCTAGCTACCAGCTTACAGCTTAGCCTAGCAGGTTTGGGGTCTAGAGATGGGAGGGGCTGAAGGAAGCAGCTTAGAAGACCTGGCAGGGTCTGCTAAATATGGCGGGAGTGTTCTTCGGGCAGACATGTCTTCCTGAACAGCTGAGGCCAACAATGAAACACAATATTTGCCTATAATATGCATTTCAGCTGAATTTGCAGCCACTGAGGGCTAGTGTTTATCTCCATATTCTTGCTTGGTAAGGATAAATGTTAGCTGACAAGTTGATGTACTTTAAAAAAGAATGCAGATGCAGGAGATCCATTGACCTTTGATAAAAATGGTAAAAATAAAACTATGGTAAGAGAAATATACTTGGAGGTCCCATATCTATTTATTTCCCTAGCTTAAGATTTTATATTATGTATCTAAATCACTGCTATGTCCAGGCTAAAGAGTTCAAAGTGGCTGTCTCTCTCCGTTGGCCATGGTGTAGTAAGAACTCTGTATTGCCCTCTTCTGGTAGGTCAGGCATTCAGCTGGGGCCACAGCTGGGTCAGCTTTGGGAAGAGCTTCCATCTTGTCAGCCATTGTCCAAATTTCGTTTCAGGCCTTAATCAACCAACCAAACCTCTTGCCATTGCCCAAGAGTCTATGTACATTCTTACCTCAGACTATTTCTCCCTCCATACAAAGGACATGGCCAACTATACTGCTCAAAACTCTGCCCAGTGGGAGAATTTCCCCTCACCACTGTCCTTTGGAGGCTCTCCTGAATGTGGCTGAGCACAGGAGTTGTCGGTTTCCTCCCTCGTATCAAGCCAACCAGTATGTCATCTGGGCCCAAGATGTTTTCTCTCCTCTGCCAGCTAGTCATACCCAATGGGCCAAAAGTGTGGATTGAGAGAGCTGCATTAGCCTAACTGAGGTAAGTGATGACCTGTTTATGTAACTGACTTCTGGTGATGACTTGTTTATGTAACTGACTGCAACTCCAACTGGATCCCAAATGTACGATATTCATTATATAATGGATTGCTGCTGAGCTGTCCTGATAATATACTTGATAAATATAACAATACCCGGTTCATGATGTGCGGCTCTGGTCAAATATTCACTTGGCATGTTCAGGCATTGGAGGCTGAGAAGTATGTCAGGAGCTGGTTTTCAAATGATAAATAGTTTTCAGCTGCAGAAGGCATGATCTTGCTCTGGAATCCTAGGGATCTGTCCATCTATCTATTGGCCCATCACCACAGTAATGGTAGTGCTTGAAGGGCAATCAGAGCTTGAAGACACCACTGTGATCTGACAGTGGAAGTGGGAGTAATCTCTCCCACAGCTGATGAACTGGAAGGCATGCCCTTCCATGGAAGCACAAGATGGCCAAGTCCTTATCCTTTCCATAGACCTTCAGAAAGTACTCTGAGGTCAAGCGCTTGTCAAGATCTGGGTAGATGTTGAACTTGTAGCCCAATCTTAGGAGGCGGGTTATCAAAGTCATAGTGGGTGTTGTTGTACTTTTTCTAGCTGAAGCCCATGTAAACACAGTTGAAGAATAGACTTGCTGTTGCACAAGCAGTATGCTGAAGAAGGCATGGGAGGAGAGAAACAGAGACACAGACATAATATGGAAGGGGTTTTCCTGTGAAGGGGAGAAAAGGAAGAGTGGTGTTTGGAAAGGGACATGAAAGGATTTCCCTCCCTCCCTCCATCCTTGCCTCCCTCTCTCCCTCCTCACCTCTCTCCACGCCTTCCTTCCTTCCTCTTCTCTCTCTCTCTCCCTTCCTCCCTTTCTTTTATACAGGGGAGACACTAGCATGTTTCAGAGCTTATGGGAAGAAACCTGTAGAGAGAAATACATTGAAATAACAGGGAATAGAGAAGACAGTTTTTTGTGCAAGACCTCTGAGATGGGAGGAACTGGAATGGAGATCCTACACACAGGAATTAGCTCTAGACAGGAGGCAGGAAGGTGACATATTTCACTCTGAAAGAAGCAAGGAGGAAGGACTCAGGGTAGGGGCAGTAGCTGGAAATGGAGCAAATTCTCATTTGACAGATTTTATTTTCCCTGTCAAGTAGAAAGTGAGTTATTTCTTGAGTGAGGGAATGGAGAAGTGGGGGCAGGATCGAGGGGAGGGGAGATATTTTCATGATGAAATGCCATGGCAGTTTTGTGTTTGAACTCTTGAGGAACTTCCATTAGCCTGCAAGACAGCTGGAAAAAATAGAATTAATACAAATTGGGACTTTGGCCATTGGAGGAATGTGTGGCAGGAGAGGTAAGTGTGGTGGACAGTAACCTAAGGAGCATCAGGTGGATAGGGAAGGAAGAGGAGGCAGAAGAAGGCTGAAAAGAAGAAACAGCTGGGGAACTGGGCTCCCTGTGAAGTTGAAGAACCAGTGTAGTGGGGACAAATAGAGACCAGTGAGGGCAGAAGGCTGTGGCCAGAGGACAGACTGTTTCATTTAAAATTTCAGAGGACAAGCAGTTAGGGGTGGGGTGACAGCTCTCGAGGGGAAGCTGACATGGTGGTCAGGTGAGGAGAATGGAGTTCAGAATGTAGCTGTGATGGTATTTTGCATAGCCACCACCTTCTAGCTGTGTCCACATATGGTGGAAGGGTGAGGAATCTCTGTGGGCTCTCTTCTAGAATAGTAATTCCATTCATGAGGATTACTCATGACCTAATCACCTCCCAAAGTCCTCACTCCTAATGCCATCAACTTTGGACACTAGCATTGTACCATATGAATTTGTTGGGGACACAAACACGTAGACCATGGCAGGAAAGAACCCCCACAGTTGCTTACCTTTCTAAGTGGAGCTCTATCTACAGATTTTGCTCTGATGGAGGACACTGAGCAGCACTCAGAAATGCTGCTCTGAGAATGAACAGGTGGTTACCAGAGGGGAGGGGGTGGGGAGATGGGGAGAATGGGTGAAGGGGAGTGGGAGATACAGGCTTTCAGTTATGGAAGGGATACATCATGGGGATGAAAGGCACAGTATAGGGACCACAATCAATGATACTATAAGAGTGATGTAACAGGATGGGTTAACTAATACTGGTGGTGAGTACCACATAACATACCGACTCTTGAATCACTATGTTGTACGCTTGAAACTAATGTAATGTTGTGTGTCAATTATACTTAAATAAAAAAAAAGGAAGACCCTTCCCCACAAATGCTGCTCTGGGTCCCATGCTCCTTCGTGTAGCAGTCCAGGAGCTGGTGGTCGCCTCTGCTAGCCCCACGAGAGTGGACCACAGCACCCAAATTCCATCAGCGCAGTGTCTTGTTTTATGTAAGATTAATAAACATCCCCATAGTTCTCCATTTCAGTCAATGGCTAAAGGGTGTTACTGACTCAGGTACAACTTGTATAAACTACCTGTTTTCTTGACAAAATGCCTATTACTTTCTAGAAACCAACAGTAAGACCTTTTGTCACGTGAGCTGTTATAATATGCTGCTCACTTGGCTAAGCTTACCGGTCCATCCATTGACTTTAGTCTCAAAAACACATTTAGTCCAATGTGTTCAGTTTGTTTCTATGATCATTCCTATTTTACAAATGAAAGAAATGGAGCTTCGAGAGACTGAGTGACTAACTCCAGATCACAGGCCTAGTAAGTGCTGGAGGCATGGTTTGAACCCAGGGCTTCTGGCTGCAACATATGGCCTCATAATACCAAACAGCATTGTATCCTTCCATAAGACAAAATGCAACCCACAAGCAACAGCATTTTGACCTTGGTGTCATCATAACCCACACTCTGGGTTCTCTTTTAGCTCCCAGGGAGGACGTGGCTAACTTGTGGTGTAGCCTAGATCTCCAGTAGAGGAAGAAGAGGACTCTTGTGTGCCAGCTTCCCTCCTCCTCAGCTTCCTTCTTCACCCCCACCAACCCTCATGAGAACTTCCAAATTGACTGGCCTAGAGTGAGACCCCCACAGATGGGGGAGAGGGCCATTCACTGTTTTGAGGGGGAAAAATCTGATAAAAATGCATCTTTTGGTAGGGGAATATAAATGCAAATATTGGAAAAAATATCCTAAGTTCCAATAATATGCATTGTCTATTGAGACAGCAACTGACTTTTTTTTTTTTTTTTTAGCATTTTCTACCTCCTTCCTTGACAAAAATAC